TGTGCAATCAGAGCCCCATCATTGTCTCAATTATCAGATCTCAGCGCGCTAGAGAGTGAGAGAGAGAGAGAGAGAGAGAGAGAGAAGGCATTGATGGTGAAGCCGATGAGTCGTCACGGGGACGAATCTACCAAAACTCACGACTCATCAGTACTCACCGCGTGTGCGCAAAACAGGGACTCGCAAAACCAGCGACTCCATCCCGTGGCCGTGAACCGCTCGAACTCGAGCTCGGTCCGATTCCTTTATGAGGCGGAAGAATTCAAGTTTAATTTATGGGGAGGTTAAGGATGCGTTTATTTTGTAGAAAATAAATGATTTGAAAAATACTTTTCAAGAAATGATCGTTTCAATCTCTTACGAAAATGAATGAACGAAAAATATTTTCACCGTCCATGAATTATTTCAAGCAACACAAGCGATCATTTTTTTGGTAAATATTTTACAAATCATTTATTTTCCGCGAAACATAATATTTAAGTACCTCGTGAGCCAATCCATTTGAATGGTTTAATTCTTAGACCATACCCTTATGTTTACTCGTATATGTTGTAAAACGGGGAAATCATCCAAATAATACTATTTTTTAAGTCGTGCAACACATCTAATATTCAACATCAAGTCGGAGGGAAATTTGTCAAAAAAGTCCTAAACATATTGTACGGCGGCCAATTTAGTCCTAAACCTTTTAAGTTTGCCAATTCAGTTCTAAACCTTTTAAATTCTTGCCAATTGAGTCCTTCCGGCCAATTTTGGCCGGCCGGCGCTGACGTGGCCGCTGGCCGGCGCCAGCCATCGGGTCAACGCTGACGTGGCAATTTTTAATTATTTTTTTTCTAATTTTTTAATCTTTTTTTCTGCTTTCTTCCCTCTGGCCGGTCCGGCGATTGGCGGCCGGCCAGAGGGGAGGACCTTGCCGGCCTCTGGCGAAGCTCGCCCCGCCGGCCACCGGCGAGGGTGAGCCTCGCCGACCCTTGGCCGGGCGAGGCGAGGTCGGCCTCGCCTCGCCGTCGCAACCTTGGCGAGGCTCGACCTCGCCTCGCCGTCGCCCGGGTCGCGACAGGCGAGGTCGAGCCTCGTCAAGGTCGCGACGGCGAGGCGAGGCCTACCTCGCCTCGCCCAGCAGAGGCGAGGTCGAGCCTCGCCATGCTGTCGCGACCCAGGCGACGGCGAGGCGAGGCCGGCGAGGCTCGCCCTCACCGGTGGCCAGCGGGGCGAGCTTCGCCAGAGGCCGGCAAGGTCGACCTCGCCGGCCCTCCCCTCTGGCCGGCCGCCGGACCTGCCAGAGGGAAGAAAGCAGAAAAAAAAAGATTAAAAAATTGGAAACAAATAATTAAAAATTGCCACGTCAGCGTTGACCGGACGGCCGGCACCGGCCAGCGGCCACGTCAGCGCCGGCTGGCCAAAATTGATCGAAAGGACTCAATTGGCAAGAATTTAAAAGGTTTAGGACTGAATTGGCAAACTTAAAAGGTTTATGACTGAATTGGCCGCCGTACAATAGGTTTATGACTTTTTTGGCAATTTTCCCTCAAGTCGGAGTTCAAGTTTAGAGTGAAATTTTCCCCCCCTTTTTTTTTCTCTTCAAATCGAGTCGAGTGGACTTGAGCTCGAACCTAGAAATCAAATAAGAGCTTAAAATAAATCTAGTTCATCGAAAGCTCGAATCGTACATTAAACCTTGCAATCCTGGAGTTGAGTATTGAGCAGTAATATCTGTCGACCGGACTCAATTGCAAGTACCCATAGCCCCCCCTGACGAGGCAAATTTTATGTGGCATGGGCCAATAATAAGACTGCCCCACCTCAATTATATAGTTTTTAGGGCGTAAATGATAACTATTCCGTTTCCTTATTTTTATGTTTTTCTGTTCAAAAAAAAAATTGAAACAGAAAACCGTTTAGCAATGCAACTTCATTTTTTTTATTTTATTTCTAGGATAAATTTTTAACCAAGAAATAGGTTTAGAAGAGAAAAGAAAAGTGTGTATATATATAACAGAAATTTAAGAATAACATATCAAACGAATTTCTATCCCAGAAACATAAATTTTATGTCGTTATCAAATGCTACTTTTTGCTCAGAAACTCGTCCAAGAAAGAAAATGGTTTTCATTTGCGCTCTTAGGATATCTATATTTTATATTTAGTTCTTTTCATATACATGGCAATTACAAATAATATGTTCGAATATGGATTATCTATGAATATTCTATATATTAAGCTAGGTAACCGAGACGGTAATTAAGTATAAAATTATTGAAATATAAATTATCAACAAAAGCTTGAACTAGATACTAAGCACTTTCGAATTGTGAAGTTGAGTCTCGAGTAGAGTAATTTTTGTGGACTCGACTCGATCGCTAGTATCTGTAGCTCCACCTCGAGTTATAACAATCTTCTTTCGACATCAACATAGGAGCCTTCCATATTCTCCAGAAGAATCACTGCATTAAGAATAATGGTTGGCATACTTTCATATAAGTCGTGGGTGCACCTTCAAGAGAGTCGAGTTATGGACTAACCCGTCTCCATATTTAGGATCTGTACATTTTGCCTGTGAATGAAAGTCGGAAGCTACTTGTTTTTTTCACTTTTTCGTTAAAATTCAAAATAAAAAGTAGGATCAACATATAAGCAAATGTACATGTGAATACAAAACAATCACTAGCTGGTCCAAAAAATTTAGTGCAAGCATACGAAGCTGCAATGAACTTTCCATGAGCATCGGCTTTACCCAGGAGCTCAAAACCTTGAACTTGCAGTGCCCGGGTAAAGGTGGGTGTTCTTCAAGATTCCGTTCCTGAAAACGAAATATGACGTCGCCCCAGAGAGAAATATAAGCCAGGGAGAGAAAAAAGAAATGCACGGAAAAATCATTGTCCAAGGATTGTTCTGAGGTACGTTCGCTCTGGTCACATCGAGTTGCAGGCAGACCGAGGCCACGTCAATCGTGGGTTATCATGTGAAAAATGAATTATTTTATTTTACGATTTCATTCAAGAAAAGAATTAAATGAGGCTGCAAGAAATGCGAGTCAAGATTACCAGGGTGGTGGGCGGCAAATCTTGGAGCCATTTGACTTGGGATTCGATGCACGTAATCTCGCTGGGAGGAGCTCATTTGATGAGGGCTCTGATTGAAAGGTGACAGCACAAGAAGCAAAGAGATATTGATTGCCAGAGACTGTGATTTCGTCAAGGCGAGTGTGGAAGTAAACAGTATAAAATGAAGAAAAAATGTCTGGTTCGATTCGATTCTGAGAAAGGATTTTGTTATCCAGTAGGTGCTTGCCAATGAAATAGTGGGATGATGTATATACATATGGTTGTATTTCGATTCATACGGCTAGTCAGCAAGATATTTTCGAGTCTTGAATTTTAAAACGGAACGGAAGATGCGGGTTCGGTTGTTTATATTCTTCTGTAAACCGATACCGGGCACTTTTTTTCCTTGGTTTGTAAAAATGAGATGGTGTATGAGCCCGCTTTTCGCTTGCCTCGACTCGTCCGTGCCTTCTAATTCGCGGGCTTTCTTTTGTCGTTCTAAGGATCTTCTGTTAAATAGAATGTTCATAATGGACGATTGTCCTTAGTTTGAGCCTAGTTTGATTTCCATATTTTTAACTTTCAAGGAACTAAATTATAGAGGATAAAAGATAAACGAAGATTTGAGTATAGTCATACATGATCTGGTTTTCTTCTCCTTGATTTCCTATTTTTAAAAGTTTTGGGATTTTGTTTATGCAATATTGTTGCTTGGTACCACCCGCCTGGGTGGCGCTGCTGGAGCGCGCACTCTTCCTCTCGCAAAAGGTTGAGTGTTCGAATCCCGGATGCCGCAGGGTGACTTAACCGGTGCACGTGTGTGGTGACTAGCACGTGTCGCCCCCAGGGTTTACCTCCCGGCTGTCGGTCGTGCGGGGGTTCCTGGGTCATCAAAAAAAAAATATATATTGTTGCTTGGTAAAAGGAGAACCATTTGAGAGGTTTCAATATATAATATAGCCTTGTTTAATTAAATCTCTTAAATTTTCTTCACGTCCAACTTTTAAAAGAGAGCTGTCCCAATTTTAAGACCGCCAGATCGATCATAGTAACATCATTAGAAATTTATGTTATGGTGTGGATACAAGGAAAATGAGAGGTGAGTGCGAAAAATGTGGTTAAATTCAAACTTGGCAAACTAAAAATGTTGTTGTTTTCATTTTCCACACTTACGTACATTTCCCCCTCTCCATGTTTCTAAATGGCGGCAACAGGGCGAAGAGGCGAGGAGTTAAAGATTGGACATGCTAATGGTGAGCACAGTTTTAGGGTATAACTAGATATTGGAGAACTGGATCCGTGGGAACCATTCTTATTTCAGGTTCTAGGGTATGCATTGTAGGTTCTAAATTCCAAAAATTGATTCCGACGGATAAATTCTAAGTGGAACCTGAAACGAGTTTTTGTGTTTTTCTTGTTTTATGTCTTCACGGAATCCTGCAGTATTTCACGGCATCCAATAATGAGTGTGTAATTTGGAGATATTAGTATGAGTTCCCATTTCCGATCATATCCATAACTGAAACTTTTACTTTGTTAATATTTTATATATTTTGTGTGTTTAAATATAAATTGATCAGTGAATTGTAACAGCAAATGGCGATCATTAGAGGTAATACTTCACTGTAATCGTTCAATTAATAATATAAGTGAAATTTGTGTAAACTTTAAAATTAACTTTGAAACCTGTGACTAGGTTCTAGATTCTAGAGAATGGAAAATAGATTCCAGGTTTAGAAAAATTGGGAATCTATTCCGACTCTGGTACCACTAGCCCCTAGGACATGCTGCAGCGTAGGGTTGACCGGGCAGCTCTTCTAGCTGATGGTTTGTTCAACTTGAAAACTCGTAGTCGCTCAAAGGAGATACAAAGTTGGAACCAGCAAAGCAAAATTGTTAGCATTTACAGAGAGAGAGAGCGAACCAAGTACAGAAGGTAAAACACAAGGTGTGAAAAGAGAAAATTCAAAGTACCACACAGCCTACTCTATCACTTAGAACCCCACAACCCCATCAATGATTTTTTGGAATTCTCTTCTGACAAGGTTTTTATGTTGCTTGTGACTTTTCTAAGTGGGATGAGATGGGAATCACTGATATTTCTGATAAATCATTTATTGCCCTCCATTGATCTGCAATGTCTTTGGCAATCTTAATGGCGTCGCTGGCCGTCCCAAGGAGGCCTCTCCTTGTGAATCCAACTGTGTACAGTCCATTCTCTCCTTTCCACCCATCAGGAAATGGGGTTTTGGGCATGCCCTCTTTGGTGAAAAACTCACTCTGCATCACAAACCCTAGAACATGTCATCATCAACTTGAAGATAGCATTCTAGAGAGATCTTTTATGCTCGTTGGTTCTAGTAGTAGATTATTGTCATGGCAGATCAATGCTCAAAACAAGAAGCATGCCCCTTTTCCATGAGGAAAATTTTGTAATAAGGACAAAATGATCACAACAAAACCAAATCCCAGTTTCGTACATAAGTGGAAAAGGGCAAAAGGAACAATATCAAGGCCATGCTTTTGCAATCTGCACCCTCCAAGGATACTAACATGTCACGATAGTTACAAATCATGAATGCGCATAGCATGTATACGTCGTCCTTAGAAATGCAAATTCAAAGAAATATGCTGAACAGCCCCCAACAGGCCCCTACTAATTTTTTTTTTATTCTATTCTTGCACGGAAAATGAAAGAATAGTTTTGGAGTGTTTCTTCACACTTTGCATGTGTCCAAAGATAGAAAGGGATAGATGATATACTATGAGACAGGACTAAAGCTAAAATATAGAATCTCACAGATTTAAATTAAGTAGAATGTTTACTGATAAAAGCTTACCTTGAGCCAGCAAGGAACAGTGCTCCTAAACCCTGTTGCTAATATTATGGAATCAAACTCCTTTTCTTGTCCATCCATGAATTTAGCTCCAGTTTTTGTGATCTCTTTAACACTTGCCACCACCTGAAACATAAAAGCCTAAGAAAACTTAGCATATGCTGATGTCAGTAAATATGGGCGCAGGACAAATGTGGGGGAAGCCAAACGAGGAGTTTCTGTTTGAAGTGCCTTATAATGACCTTGATGTTGCCGGATTTTATATGCGAAAGAGCACCGACATCGAGCACAGGGGTTTTTCCGGTGATGTTTTTGAGCTCGATTGGGCCAGTTTTGGGCCGCCGGAGACCTAAATGGTCAGTGTTGCCTAAGACAAGATTAGCCATCACAAGGAGGAGCTTGTCAACCATTCTAAGGGGAAGCCATTTGAGCAGTGACATTGCTATTCCAAACGTTGAGAAGCCAAACATTTCTCTAGGGAGAACATGTACCTGTTGACATCACAAAAGCAAACTTGTCATGGCATTTAAAAAAAGACTGACAAATCTATGCTAATCCTTTTTATCCTCAAATATTATAATTAATTTAAAAGAGGGCATATCTGAATTCTAAACTTCAATACTCTAAGTTGCCAGAACTTTTAATAATCAATAATTGGATGACCAAAAAATGATTGGAAAATGATTTCATGGAAGAAAAAGAACAACAGAGCAAAGAGGCAGAGAGAGAGAAAAGCTGAACTCACCGTGTTTCTAACAACCATATAAGGAGTTGCATTATGCCTACAAAGGTCCAAGCTAACTTCCATCCCAGAATTGCCACAACCCACAACCAAAACCCTCTGGTTTCTGAAATCTGAACCAGACTTGTACTCACTAGAATGAACCACCAAACCATTGAACTTGTCCAGTCCAACAATCTCTGGATCAAAAGGCTCTGCATTTTCTCCTGTGGCAACAATGAGCCACCTAGAAATGTACTGAAACTCCTGAGTTTGAACCCTCCAGAACCCACGAATAGGGTCAAACTCAGCTTTTGCGACATTCTGAATGAAGTTTGGCCTTATTGAGAAGTGCGAAGCATAGGCCTCCATGTATGAGATGAACTGGTGCTTGGTTGGGTACTTGGGGAAATGTTCGGGAAAGCCCAGGAGTGGTAACTCGCAGTACCGCTTAGGCAAATGCAATTTGAGGCGATCATAGGTTCTGTGTTGCCATAAAGAAGCTATGCAATCGCTCTTTTCAAGAATCAGTGAAGGAACACCATGTTCAGATAGGCAAGCTGAAGCTGCTAAACCGGATGGCCCCGCACCTACTATGATAGGCCCGTGAACGAACACAAACGTCGTTTGAGGGTCTCGTTCTCGATCTTTACAAGAACCCATGATGTCAAAATATGAGAAAAGAGAAGATGGGTGGTTCGAAAATGTATTCGAGGAGCAGAACAATGAGAGCTTTTCTTGTGCTCTGTTTTCACTTCCCCTGTTTCTTCATTCTGAAATGCTCTGTTTGTGGGTTCTGTTTCCCATTTACTTCGGATGGTCTCATGTTTGGACTTAGGCTAGTGTCGAAAAGAGAAGGCTAATGCATGGAAGCAGAATGGGGCATGTGATGATGAAACAGAGGAGTGGAGAGAGAGAGAGAGAGAGAGAGAGAGATGAAGGTGAAGGAGGAATTTCTGTTTCTTCTAAGCTAGGCTTCATGAGACAGTGGCGGGCAATGGTCGAGAGGAGCTTTAAATAAGTACATCCATGCACGGATTTAAATAAAATTTGAGTTTTATCCTACCGGTATAGAGTAGATATATAGATGTGGGTACATGCATGCATTAGACACGTGGATAATGCATCTAATCTTCTGTTGAGTTACAAAATTTTATAGAGCCGATTGAATTAGCACACTTAGAGAAAATTGAAGAGAAGAGATGTAGGTGTTTTCGATGATTCTTGGAAGGAAGAATTTCAACTCTATTTAGAATTCATGTACAGAAATGATACATGAACTAAAAATTAAATAGATTCAAGAATCCGGAAAATATACATGAATTAAATAGATACAAGAACCCAAGAGATACATGAACTCGAGAGATACGTGAATTAAGTAGATATACGAATCTAAGAGATACCTGAACTTGAGAGATGCATAAATTCAGCAGATACATGAATACAAGAGATACATGAAGTGAATAGACGTATTTCATTTTTTGCTCACATTCGTTGATCCATTAACCCACCATAAATATAATAAAGATTACCTATAATCTTTTATAAACTACCTGAGATTTTCTGTCTCTCACCTATCTGAAAGCTATCCATTTTCTATTTTTATTTCTTCTCCAAAATCCTCAGTCTCAATGTTCAGTTGACTCTATTCCTGAAAGAATTTTGTCTTTAGATGATCCCAAGAGACACGAAATCATGGAGCAAGATATCAAACGAAATGAAATGAGACTGAAGATATCACAGGGCAAAATACTAGATTAGATAATTTCGCTTTTGAACTACTGCTACTTGAATGTTAAATCTAGATCGTAAGGATAGAGGATAGGGAGAACTAACCCTGATGGAACGTCAGTTAACTAGATCAACTACTTATTTTGTCAAAGTTTGAATAGATAAAGTAGTTAGAGAAATGGTACAACACACACCCATGTTTGTCCAATCTCACTTTTGGGGAGTTTGACTGGGTTTGATATCTAGAGTTAGGCATTTTGATTCTCTCGTGGCCATCGTCTCGAAATCAAATTACTTACAAATTTCTCGATACTTTTAGGATAAGATGACCGGACATGTCTTATGATACAGTGAATACTTACTGATAATCGTCGTTCATCTTTAAAAGTTATTTATAAGATGACGTGATAAATTTTGTTATGGCTATGGACAACGATTCGTAGATTTTTCTCTCGATGCTTCGATACGAAAATGGAAAAAATATTGTTTTTCTTATATATATTTTAAGTAAGATTAACCAGGAGTTGAGGGTGGTTGTGAAATTGCGGCGTCAACGATCAATCATAATGGGACAATAATCACCTCACTGACGGTTTAATAAATATGCACAATGAAGGGACAACACTCGTAGATTTGTTAGTGGGGAGAGGTGCCAGTCGATCACTTGCACTATAAATAAAAAAAGAACCCCATAAGATCACCGAAATCAATTAAAATATGCGAAGTCTCCACCGGCCTAATCTTTGGAGAGAGAGAGAGAGAGAGAGAGAGATGTTGGATATTGCTAATGATTTTTAGCATTTTGAGTGAGAGGATTAGGAGAGTAAAACTGAGGTGCTTAGTCAATAAAGATAGAATCACTACAAATTATGACGCCTGGATATACCAAAAACCTAGTGGAGAGAGGGAGGGAGGGAGGGAGGGAGGGAGGCTAGGGTTTAGGATCTGTGAGGGATTATATATATGTCTGCAGATGGGGGGAATGTAGGGTGGGATGCAATGCAAATGTAATGATATTTTGTCCACTACCAAATTTCTTTTCTTGAATTGCTTTGGTGCTTTTCTAATAATTATTTTCTCTTGGACTTTTGGACTTTTGCAGGACTTTGTGGTGGGTCATATGAAGATCTGCTTGGAGTTCCATCTAATTTGGAAATGATGAGGGCTTGTGGAGCAGAGGGAGGGAGCACATAGCTTTTGGAATTACACGGGTCACTTATATGAACATTTATATAAATAGTTATTTGATTCTCAAAAGATTTAATTACATATCAAGGATGCAGTGGCTTGTATTAAAAAAGAAGTCACTATCTATGTACCAATGGTTATCCATTTTACCTTTCGGTTAAGACCAATTATATATGATTCAATATATCTGGTTCATATTTGGTGAAATCTTTCGAACGTCATGTTTTATTCGTTCCTTTACACTAATTGGGCGTGGGGAGGGCGTTGAGGGGTCAATCTCCATACCTCATGGTTGGTGAGGGCATTCACCGTCACTAATTGGATTTTATTCTTGTGTCATGGTTGCAGTTTGGTGAAATTCTTGAAGTCCATCTTTCAATTAAGGAGATTATATACCTTGAATCAAGAGATTAATGAAGAATTACTCGGGTCTGGCCAAGCTTCTCTTATGTCCAAATTGATCTTGACTTTTGCATCCCAATTTGAGTCCATCTTTCAATTAAGAAGGGGTTATGTACCTCGAATCGAGAGATTAACGATGTATTACATTCTAGAAGGGGCCTCTAGGAGTTAGTCCGACGAGCACTCTAACCATAGAGCTCTATCTTTTCAAGATAACATTGAATATCGGAAATTTTTTTGAAGTCTCTCCAACATTCAACACGTGGGCATCGGAGTCCATAAGTAATCAAATTGTCACACACATCACTAGTCCAACGGTGGTTACGGAATTCGTTATGACATATCAATATACCCCGTTGGTCCAACTCTCCTTTATTTGAGCATAAAAAAAACCCTTTTGTCTTGTTCCTGTTGGTACAAGAAAATGAACTGTGCAACATAGGTAAAAAGGTCTGGGCAAGCTATGGAATGGAAGAAAGTTGACAAAGCAATGATGCTCCTTGAGCGCATGCAATGAAAAGCAATAAGCAATCCTATGACTATACATATATAAGTAATTTACATTATTCCAAAAGATAAAATAAATAAATAAAAAGACATACTACACCACCCATATTATTCCATAGAGTGGCTCCTTTGAATAAAGTGGTCTATACATAGGTTGCCCGTGAAGGATTTGGAAGATGAACAATGATGATTAAAACACATGCAAAGATGAGTTGCGGAAAAGCCGCCCATAGATAGAGGATTTATAGATGGTTAGGACATTATTTTAATCCTTGTTACGGGTTTACCGACGTCGGTTTAATCTTAATATAATGGGTTAACCGTTGACTAAGGTGAAGAAAATAGTGATCATCCATCTTGTAGGTACTCGAATTTCATCTTAGAGCAAAGAAGATGCACTATTGAAAAAAGTTGGAAGGTGAAAAACCGCGACACGCGAAAGAGTCCAATTTCATCGTGCTCGGGTCAAAAAAGCGAAGGATTTAATATTCCCCTCATCTCGTTTCTTTGCAAAAAAGTCGAGGTCGTTACGAGATTAGGAGAAGTGATTGGACGAGACCCATCATAAATAAATCTCGGGAAAAGTATCGGCCAGATTTCACCCGACAAAGTAAAAGTCGAATTCGCATTCTTAAGAGTGAGGGTGGAAATATATTTGAAATTTGAACGCAAAGCATAATTATGTCAAGTTAATTTGTAAGAATCTCTAGTCATTCACAGCAGACTTTTCCCTTTTCTAGGGACGCTTTGATTGAATTAACGCCTCTAATATCATGAGCGAGAGATAACACCAAGTTGCCATGAATATTGCAAATGAGAACATATAATATATATATATATATATATATATTTGTGTGTGTGTGTGTGTGAAGATTATTGAAATCTTCTGTTGTAGCTTGAGGCTTCAGTTCAGCTCAGACCATCATACAGATATTCACTCACAAGATCTGGTGGGTCACTTTTGTACGGGTCCCCAAGCCAAGATTCAGTTGGCTCTGCCTCAAGATTCGAATATCTCCACTTTATAAGTTGGCCACTTATGTCTTTCATGAATGATCTGAAAAATATTTTTATAAAAATATAATTATTTATAAAATAATTTTGTTGTACACGAAATAATAGTAAAAATATTTTTTATTAATAAATTATTTTAAGTGATACAAGTAATCATTCATAAGAAAATATTTTCCAAATCATTCGATTTTTACGAGACAAACAGAACCTCAAATCAATAAGAAGAGTCGCGATAATGAATTTTCCTATACAATCGTTAAGCGTTATATATGTATAATACAGAGAGATTCTATTTTCAAAATCGGTCATGTTCATGAGTGCTATCAAGGTACTTGTTGAGCATACTTAATTTAAAACAATTCAATATTCGAAACGGATAACACAGGAAAAGTGAAAATTATGACATTTCTTATCTTTAATAATTTAACAAGTACCCTTGGTGACGCTATTTAACGGAATAAATAAAGCAAAAAATGATTTTGTTTCAAAAGTGGTTTGTTTCTTGGGATCTCCCTGGGCTGGTCAAATTTGCCTTTCTTTCTTGTCCGATACACCCATCTTCAAATATACTTCGATAATCTGTCCTAGAAATGTACAGTGCAGATCTTGAGCAGTTATGGTCATTGGTGTTGGTGGTGGACTGTACTTGGTGCTTATAAAAAGCCATGCCTCTGTCAATCTATGCATCATCTTTAATTAGCGAAGTAGTGCCACATGTTTGGAAGACTTGAACAAATTTGGCAGGCCAAAATGCATATATATTCTCAACATATATACGTGTATATATATATAGCTACTCGAGATATATATGTATGTATGTGTTTGTGGGCGCATGCTCTTTACCTTTAAGTCGAATAATTTGAGTTTGTACCTCGAGTAGCCACATACTTGATGCAATGATATGTCTATTGTGTCGAATTTCATATTCATAATCAAGGCACGAATTTGGATGGCATGCGATCACTTTCAGAGTTATACCAGATTCAGGTCTGTTTCTTTGGTGAAAAAAAATTGTTGCTTGTATCTCTTACAAAAATGAATAAGAAAAAGTCCATCGTCAACGAAAATATGTAAATATAAATTGGGTG